TGGGGGGAATGAAAACACCACTGGGAGCTCCATGTTGGCACACACACATTCAAAGAAATACAGTCTTAAACACACAGCCCAGAAGCTGCATGTGACAAATAATCAGGCTAAGTGTTGGCATATTTTAATGTGATTAAAAGTACTGAGTGCTCCCTGAGAGTCGAGGTTGAGCTGATATTACAAGACTATATATAGTTATATTTGACACATATTAATGAAAACTTGAAGACATGGTTATCTTTGTCACATACCAAACACTCCAAAAAAACAACATTACAGAGTCGTATCATAATGTGCACACTTGGACATTCTGTTAATATCAGACGAATGTTCCTAAGAGATATTATTAAATGCATTGTGTAGCATGACAGAAGAGTGGTTAACCTATCTACCACAAGGACAAGAAGGATATTGAGAGCTCTATTCATTTTCCTTATTATCGTCATCATAATTATTTTCAACCATACATGCCTTTGATACATACTAGTAGGATCTGTAATTTAACATTAGTTACACTTAAGTCCATCACGATAAATACTGTATTGAATTATTGTTCAATACAGGATTAATCACTTACTAATTAGACTTTTTTTTTGTTGTTTATTTTTCTGTAACATCATCATCATGAGTAGCAGTGTTGACTTATGAACTTCTTTGACTCATTATAGACAAACTTACTTCTGAAGTGTGGTGTTATTATTTATATTCTACATTAAAGGGACAGTCAGAGGTCGCTGGTGCTAGGCTAGTGCATGTCAATGGCCATAGTTATCCTGCCACTAAAAAGTCTTACCCACTCCACAAAACACCCAAAGCAAATCTGTTATTACGCCAGACTGTCGAAGTAAATGTCTGTGTTGATAGAATAATGTTTGAAATAAAACTAACCTTGCATTGCGTGAATCGTTGCATGTTGAGGGACTATTTTCTCATATATCAGTCCGCCGCTGCCAAGCTTTCTATCAGGAAATACAACTTGCTGCTGCTGCTCAGACATAAATCCTTCAAATACAAGGTTGGTTTTACTTACAAAATAATTCTATTGACACAGACATTCACATCGACAGTCTGGCGTAATAACAGATTTGCTTCGGGTGTTTTGTGGAGTGGGTAAGACTGTTTTTAGTGGCAGGCTAACTATGGCCATGCACATGCACTAGCCTAGCACCAGCGACTACTGCAAATACAAGGACTGGATGGAATATTGAAAAAAGTGTCTACACACGTCTCCAACACTTTGGCTCACTACGAAATCAGGCGCTATGACCAAAATTGTGAACTGTCCCTTTAACATTATTTACATTTAAACCTGTCATGATAAATACTGTATTGACTTATTGATCAATACAGGACTAATCAGTTACTAATTGGACATTTTTGGTTATTTTTATGTATCATCATCATACGATATGAGTGTTGACTTATGAACTTCTATGACTCATTATAGAAACTTATTTTTTAAGTGTGCTGTTATTATTATATTGTACATTAAGAATATTCTTCTTTTTTGATTCAGTATTATTCTTTATAGTCTATATTTACTTCAGAAATACATCACACTTCAAAATTTGTTATTGTGAGAGCTACACTCTATCTGAGTAGATTTTAAAGACGATATGAGAGGGGGAAAAAAGATATAAAGCAATATTACTTTGTGTTTTCGGCAACTCAAGTCACTGAAATACTGAACAATAAACATCCAGCACTATGACAACATGCTTAATCAGATAAACCCTGAACACACTGACAACTGTGCTGCAGCCTCAAATCCACACAAAATCCTCCACAAACACTGGTACTTATGCAGACTTTAAACATATTGGACTGTTTATGCCCCGTTAAAAAGATTTGAGCAACCCTGTCTGAGCCACTGCCTGTGTTTATCCTTATGTTTGTTTTTAGGTGATGGAGGAGAACACAATCAGATCATTTGAGGTTTTGGTTTCTAACTTCCTGCACACAGAGAGGAAAGCACTTATACAGCAACAAAATCCTCTCCAGGGACAAGAGTAAGTGAGAGGAGTGAAGGGAAGACAACTCAGCCACGCAGCATATTGAAGGAGGGTCCTAAGTAGAGCTACAGGGGCACTTTAAACTGATGATGTGAAATTATTTGTCTAGATGCAATCAAAGTTTATCTTAAAAAAGTTAAGATGAAAGCTAATCCTAACTTCACAAGACAATTAAATAGATGGAACAATGGTAAAGTCACTACAGACTTCACTATAGACTTTTTTGAGCGCATTGCATAACTTTTCTGATGGAGCATCCACCACCTTTTCTCCATGGAGATGTTATTGTTTTGCCTAAAATGTTTCACAGTATGGCATTAAAGCTTTCTATCATCAGGGAGACCAAACCTGGCCAAGTTACTGTTCAGATCTGTGGAGAGGCAATCCTGCTCACAGACTACCTGTTTTTCTAGGTATTTTTGAGCAATAAACCCATCTTTAATTCAATAAATGCAAGGTAGATCCTTTTAATGTCATACTGTGTAACATTCAAAGCAGAGCAATGAATATATAGAAACAACAAGGTGTCAGACCCCGAACCAAAAAGTTACATAGTGCACCTTTAAGTACTTTTAAGTCTCTGTGAAAAACAAAAAAAACAAAAAAACAAATCTGGCATCTATTCAAACTTTGTGCTCATCTTTTAATTTTTTTTAGTCATATCCTGCAATTGTGCATTTCTGGCATACATATAACACATAAATAACCCAAGATACCAAAGTTTTCTTGAAGGTCTACATGTCTAACCTAGAGTCAAATAACTATAAAATATGTGGTTATGTGAAGAGAAATGAGAATATGATTTCAACAATGCATATTTCTTCAGGTTGCTAAGACTTATTTAAACTCTTTCAATGGCCACGCTTTCGCCGTGCTTACCCACTCGTACAAAAAGCAGTATTTTCTCTGAGGTCATTCCCTTGACAAATGGTGCAGCATTTGTAGAACGAAGGAGCCAAGGACAATGACGGACTAAAAGGGAGGATTTGTTGTTGCCACATCAAGCGCACACTTTACTATTCAGATAAATGCTACAAAACTTCCACTTGAGGGCACTTCCATTGACTTCAGACAGACGACATTAAGAGGCCCCCTTATAACTTGAATCTGTTATTTCTACCTTGTGTTGCACATAATCCCCCAGGATCTTTAGTCTGTCTGATACGTATGACACAAGTCCCCATACACATATAAGGGAGTGTGGGGCCCCCGGACAGGCAGGTGCGGGGCAGTCCCATAGTGTGCATAATGCTGTGAGGGCAGGAGGCGCCCGCCGTCTGTCAGCCACACGCACAGATCAGCTGGTCTGTGTTTCTGTTCTCCTGGGGTTTCGTAGATACATCACTGTTTGTGTGTAGATTTCTCTGATGACATCAGCCTGAGTAACGCATTCAGGATGTCTAAGTAATTGCATGAGGAGAGGCCCACAGGACACACTCTCAGTGCATAAGAGTATCAAACAGGAGATGGAAATTAAATTAAATCATAAAATGAATGAGAGATAGACCATTATTGCAAAGCATTATCCAGAAGTAACATGTGCTTAAAGCACTGAAGTAAGTGGAGTGAAATCACCATGAACTGTAGAGCTATAAATATTTAAATATAAGTTACTCTCTTAGTCAGGTTACAGGTTGCAGTATCCATTGGCATTGTAGGACTGCAACTACTGGCATATTACACAAGCAAACAGCCATTCATAAAAAACACGCAGCTGAGAGCCTAAAAACAATATGTAATTTCAGAACTTTTGCAAACTACTCACCAATATCTGCTTCTTAGATGATTTTAGTTTCGAGCAAGATTCTTCTCCAATCACATATAAGTGTCCAAACTTGAGTTCTCTTTTACATTTCACTGAGAGACTTACTTTAGCTACACGTTGCAACCATATTCCAGAAACAATATTAAATTTCCCTTCCAGAAGCTTTGTGACCTTTAAACATCTGCACTGCTCTGAATACTAATCTCAGAGATGTGGTTAGCGGGTCAGTCACACTTCACACACAACACCGCTGCAAGCTGTGAGAATCATGCATGAGCGCAAAAGACAATGGAAGCTTACCTTGTCAAACATAGATTTCCATTGCTGAGACAAAGAAAGAGAAAAACAAACAGAAAGAAGTGATGGAGAGAGAGGGAGAGTGAGAGAAAGAGGGAGAGGAGTCAGAGGAGAGCTAGGGGCCAGTGCTGTCAGAGGAGCACCTGCTTCCATTTATAGGGCCATTTAACATTTTAGCCTGTGTCTTAATTGTAGTGTTACAATCACAGTGTCATTAACTGATCATTATGTTAAATGAGGCACATAGAAGATAATGGAGCAGTAAAGAGTGCCCTATTAGGCCAATGTATGTTCACTGTACAGTAGGCCTACATCATTACAACCTGATTTCAGACGAGTTAAGGGGCACTGATTAAGGTACACTGTAATCAAACATGTATTAGAATACTTGTGTACATGAATATTCTACTATATTAAAGCTGTACTATGTAACTTTTCTGGTGCAATAAGCAACCATATCCCCTAGTCTCCATGGAAATATTATTGCTTTGCCTAGAAACCACAGTATGAAATAAACATACACATTTAATAACAAATATTTATCTCTTTACAGTTGTTTCTAATGGTCTGAAAATGCATTCTCACAGTGAGAGGGCTTGTTTCCCAACAGATCTGACTTGTAACAGGTGATGGGAGGATAGGTTTGGATAGGTTTAATCCCATACTGTGAAGCATTCCAAGCAAAGCAATAACCAGCTGGTAAAGTTACACAGTGCACCTTTAATTACTGTCGTTCAAACCTGTTGCTTGGCTTTGTTCCAACTTGTATTTCCCCCCCAAAACACAAACAGTTTCAGAAAGTTGGAATCAGGGATGTAGGTTACCTAATTATTTCCAAAAAAAAAAAGAAAATGTAATAACTAACTCATTATAAGTAAGCTAATGGCAAAACTTGACCGTGCCATGGCATAAGGCGGTAAACTCACTTCCTCTGATGCTGCGGGGACCACGTCTGTGCTCTCCAAAACCTCGATCTCCTCTCCCTCCGCGTTCGCCGCCACCGCTGGGGACGAGTTCACGGTAGTCTCCCGGCTCCCACCTGTCTTCTTTGGGCTGCTACTTTCCTCCTCCATTGAGCCGCGGAGAATCCCAGTCCTCAGACCACCTCAGGAAGGACCACTAGTCCACGAAGCCATCAAAATTAATTCAGACTTCAAGCCACATCAGGTGCAAGCGGCCGTGAAGGAAAGATCCATGCGTGGTTACAGAGGCGTGCGCGCGTAATCCAGCGGTTTTTAAAGTTGATCCGGCGATAGTTTAGTCCCGGCAGCATCCACAGTGGTGCGTAAAGAGCCAAACGCGAGCCCCAAGAGCAGAAGAGAGGCAGCGGTCCAAGTTTAGACAAATCATGACATCACCAAACAGCGCACATGAGGACGGAGACGCGCCGTGACGTGCGTACATGCGAGTCTCGTGTGTGGCTCCATCCGTGTAGAGTAAAATAGTGTGTGTGTGTGAGATGGAGAGAGGAAGGGGCTGTATCACATGTACACGCGGTGCACAGGACAGCGGTGGTACAGGAAGAGATCGTGCGTCATCATACCTGAGACTGGCAGCGTGGGTGAGAGCCGTCTGGACAGAGGCACCGGAGGGACACGGGAGCGCATCTCCAGCCAGGTGCTCGGTCAAAATGCGTCCTCTGGTTTGACGGGAAGAGAAAAGAGAGACTGTGTGGGCGGAGAAATGGCAGGGAAAGGGGAGGGGCAGGTCTGGGATGAGGAGGATTCTATCAACGTGAAGAATAGACTTTATGTCATGCCATTTAAACCCGTGCAATCCTAGACTAAATAGAATAAATCCAAGTCAAGTTAGTGACACCAGTGTAATCCAAAAAACAGTGGAATATAATTTAAAGGGCCCATATTACAGTAATTTCTGATTTATGTTATAATGTTGTTTCCTCATCACAAACATAACTGGAGTTGTGTTTTGTTTCATTTACACATGTTTAACACACAAACCCTGCATATATAAGATGAGTTCTTCTCTCAAAAAAAAAACAAAACACTGCTCCACCTTGTGATGTCATGTGGTTATACAAGAAGTGCTCCTCTGTTTTTAAACTCCATACACCTTCACTAGAACCATCTGGATCCTTTCAGCCGTGGTATTGCCCGTCTCTACGGAACAAAATGTAAAAGGACAGTTATCTTGAAAACTACCACCAAAAGCTGGAACAGAACATTGAGTCTCAGAGATGTAAACAGACTAATAACAAAAGATTACGCAACCATGTGAGAATGAAACAAAATACAACTCCAGGTATGTTTTTGAGGTGGTAACATTAAAACATGGATTAAAGCCCAAATCAGTTTTGCGCAATATAGGATCTTTAAGTTTATTAGAGCCATAGGCAGTACAGTACAGTTTAACAAATTTACTTTAGCCTTAAAATGATATATTTAATCATATATTTTATAAAGAAACTGAATTAACATATTCTTTGTTTCATTGCATGATCCTTCCTTACGTATTATATCCCTACTATAGCTGATTCAAGGAGTTTTGCATACAATAGCTGTACCGTTTTCTACAACATCTCTGACACACATTAAGCTTGTTCATATTACAACACAATATGCCAACAATCACTATGGAAACAATAAGTAGGGTCAATAATTGGCTTCCTCCAGTTTCACAGTGTTTCCAAATAACTGATAAACAGCTACAAATGTAATTAACCCTGACATCTATCACGTTATCCAGTGTTTTGTGTTATAAAAAGTGCACACTGCATTGAAACACGGCCCAAAGCCTGTCTATATTATTTAGACAGAGTGGGCTGTTGATAGTATTTGAAGCACTCTTTAATCTATCAGTTATAAAGGACACACCTCGGTCAAATTGTATGGTGCACCCTGGAGGCTCATTGGACTGGGGTGTGTCCTCTCCTGTAAATTCCAGGTTAGATGAGGGGGATATAACTGTCCCCTTCAGCCAGGAACTACAAATTACATTGTAGTTGATATGGGCAGACAACACAGCATTAAAATGTGAGACATCAAACAGAGCTGATAATGGGGTGGAAGTTGATGTCTATTATTCAAATGAGTCAACAGGAAAAGAACACATGGTCAGATGGTGTTGGTAAGCTGGCCTCTTTCAGTGGACCCTGCAAGAAACTGGCAGTGGGTCTTCCTTCCACTGCAAGCAAAATCTGTCCAAATATGAATGTGGTTGATAGCCTGCAGCCGACTAAAACACGCACATCTGCTGAATCAGGCTCCCTAAAGGAACTAAATAAAACATGTTACCTGTCCTATAAACATTGGGGAATAATTCAAACCATGCCCCACAAATATAATTACAGTAACCAGTAAAGTTTGTTTGTTTTGTAAAAATGGAAAAAGAAGAAATAAGTGATCACAAATTCTTTTACAGTTATGATTTTTTTTTTTTTTTTTTGTATAAGTAAAGCTATAAATACACAGACAGGAGAAGTCTGAAATCTGCTTCAGTGTGAGTTAATGAGCTGTGAGATCAGAAAAGTTGCTGCAGGTGTCATAACATCCACAGATAAGTGATATATATAACATGAGTACTTTCATAAAATAAAATTATTAGGCTGGTGGTTACCGCTAAAACTAAAATATGTTATAATAATATTATGCAAATCAGAAATCTACATATTTAACTCTTACAATGTTTTACATCGATTAGTGCACAATTAAATCATATTAATACAAAAACAAATGTGTGATATAGGCAATGCTGCCCCCTTGTGTTTAAGTCCAAGGCTAACTTATTCACTCAAATGAGTGTTCAATTCACATATTAAACAGTCTCAAAAAAAATATACATAGGACAGGGCACAAAATGTAGTACATAACTTTATTGTAAACATTGGATGCACTGAAATATGATGATTTTCAAAAAGCTTATGTGGAAATGACATGGGTGGACATTATTGCATCTTTTAGGGGAATAAGGCCATACTAAGGTTAAATCTAAGATAAATATATACATTTTATCTTTTAGCAAAGTATGAGCACACAAAATAAAAATATGCATAAGTAGGATATTGCTTTGACAATACTGTAATGTAAAGCATGCATCTGTAACACCTGTAAACCTGTAACATCTTTGCATTGGTTTAGACTTGAGAAATAAAGTGACCTAAACATGAACAGGAGCTTATGAAAAGCAGACTTTAAGATTTCTGAAAGTTTTATCTGGTCAGTGAAGTATCAGAAGGTGTTGCAGTGCAGTTTAATTACCCACATACAGAGTAATTTCCATTAAAAAACCCATATGCTTTGAGCAATATGTGCCAATTTGGAGATTTGTGTACCATACGGGCAGTACTAAATAAACTTGTACTTGATACTGTACATTTACAGTAATGACAAATTACTGAGGGCACTAGAGAAAGTCAGTCCACATAACTCATCTGATGAGTTTCACTTAACCATGAAATATCTTAAATATTCTGAACCCACCTCACCCACAACAGTTCAGTTTTTTATAAATAAATATATATTTGTCTTTAATTACAAACTTTTTAAGATTAACACTATAAGCTACTTTAATACAAAATTAAATGTGCTCAGTTTCTTTCCCGTGTTATATATACATTTGAGGAAATGTAATGAATGAAATATTATTATGCAAATTAGAAAATACATTTGGAATGAAGGAAGTAACTATAAAATATTTGTATTTCTAAATGAATATATTTAAGAGTCACTGTTATTGTACATGAATGAGTCTAGCTGGTACCAGGAGGAGGGTGGAGGATCACCGCAGTCTGAGGAGGATTCTATACATGGCGAAGCCCAGAACAGCAAATACTGTGGCCCCAGCACTCGCTCTGAGCCAGAAGGTGGAGCTCTTCAGGTCAGCTTGGCTAACATGTCTGTGGGAAAGCATAAGAAATACTCATTTATAACAAAAACCTTAATTAATGTAAAACATGTTTGCATTAGTTAGATGTTGTATCCTTGTGAATGAACAAAATATTGCACATGATAATTTTGTCAATCTACAGATGCTTTTTAAAAATATCCTTCTGTATCAGGGAGTTCTTTGTTTCTACTCCATTTACTGCGATTGTTCATTGTTCTCATTGTTTATCATTATTCATACTGTCAAAACAAGCTCCAAGTTTGTGAATTTTGTGCACTGACAACGGCAATAAAACTCATTCTGATTCTGATCTACCATGAAAACTCAAATACTTTGCATTGTTTTGTTTCCATACATCACCATAAAGCCTGGCTCTGGTTTTGAAATTGCATCATAAACAGAGAAAACCCCCGTGGAATCAATCCATGGATAATTGCTTTCACATTCTTGTGGATGCTATAGGCCTTGGAGGTGCATATTTTGAAAACAACAATAAGTCATAAAACATTTTTTAGGATGTCTTTCTCTGATAGCGGCACAGAAAAGATTATCAATTACACACACACGGTACACAGAGAAATAAATGTTAGAGGATGAGAAATGTAACACCACAAAAACTCATTAAAAACAGTAAAGAAGTTGTAAGAGGACCTTCTCAGTACCACAGCGTAGAGTTTGGCCCTGATGGTCTGCAGCAGCTCAGAGTTGAGGAAATTCTGACACAAGCAGAAGGTACAGCGGTTACAAGTACACATGCAGCGCAGCCGGGCGTGACTGAGGAGGAGCAGAAAGAAG